TGTCTTGATTGATCGCTTTGATTCCCCGACTCTAATATTGCCTTATACGGGTTTGACGGTGTTGCCCTGGTCGGCCGCTCACGCCGCGTGGCGGCTGCAGTTTGATTGTCGTTGGTGTCGCCAGGGGGACTCGTGTTCTCGGCGACGCTTGGTCCTAGGTTACGAGGGGGCGACCCGTTTCCCCGAGCTCTCCCGTAATGCGAGGGCGCTGCCCGGGCCATTTCGAATTCGGATGTCGGCGGGTCCTCCCGCTGCTCTACCCTCTCGGAAACTCCCGCGCGGACTTTGCGAGTCCGATGACGAGGCCTGAAGGCTTCGAACCCACCACCTATCCCTCAAACCCATGATGGTCGGAGCTTCTGTCTTCCGCCGCCATGGCCCTCTCCCCTTGATGCCTTTCCCGTCCTGATGCACTGCGGCAGTTCGTTTTTGCGGAACCCTTCTGATTTTATCGCTCCGAAGTGATCCGACCCCCACGGGACTTCGTGGCGACAGTTCGACTCCGGGGTAACCTCTGGCACGAAACGAGAGCCTCCCTTTCCGTCCGGGAGACTCAACCCCTACGGCCAAAAATCCTCGGCCACGCCCCTCCTAGAACTCTGATCGGCGACCCGGTACGGGAAGCTGCGAGGGGGTGTGAGGTTAGCGTATCACACGCTCCCATATTTTCCCAAGCTTTTTTGAGTTCTTTTCCTAAATTTTCTAGAATCTATTTCATAGTTCTCAGATTGTTCTTAGCCGAAACCAGGTAATGGCCCTGGTATTTCAATTCATTTGTAAAATTCTATATGGGACGCTGGGCCCGGTTCCCAGCACGTGTTGCTCCCCACGAATAGACTGGAGCATTTGTCCCCCTCCCCCAAAAAAAAAAAAAAAACTTCCAATAGTGCTTGGCACGCTTCTCCAGACGTCGCTCCCACTGCCACCGTTGGCTCGCCCACTACCTTCGGAAGCGCCGCGTTGGAGACGCTGCTGTCACACACTTGGTTCTTGATTTCACCGCTCCTTGTAGTCCTTCCTCTGGGCGTTCACAGCAACGGGTAGTTCTTTGCTTGATCATGATAGATGACTTGTGCTATTTTTATCCCAGAAATGGGGCAACCTTCTTCTCCACTTTTATACTCCTGGTTATGCTTCTGCATCCGGGGAAAATCCATGCAGTTTAGTGACACTTTTGAGTACTAAGTAATGGTGCATATGTATGTGTAGGTGTGTGGGGGGGTGGGGCTGTAGGGTTGGCCTCTGCCCATTCAAGCAGCTGGAGCCTGGAGGTACTAACACCATAGCATGGGCTATGTTTGCCGATACAAGTGACACGCGGCTCATACAATATCTCCATAACTCCGCTACATGTGTGAACAAGTGCTACACGCAGGCATCACCAGTAACGCTGCCACCACCACCCGTAGGCCTCCTACTCCTACCGAGTCCTACAGCATCGCCGCTACCCGTAGCAGCGGCGCTTCGCATCTTCCCATCCCTGTCCCATGTCCTCACATGTGTTCTGCATTCGAACTCAGGTCTTCGTTTTCCTTTCAGGGAAAAAGTTACAAGTCCCCTCTGCAACAAAACCTTTGTGTTCATTTGGTCCCAAATGCAGCAAAAAGTGCAGCATGCCTCAAGATGACTTTCGTCAAGTTTCGTGCCATTTTTGCACCCTGGCTGGGCCAGTAACCCCCGCTATGGTGGGAAAGTGTTTTAAACCACCAGTACTTCGCCCAGCTATCGAGTCCAAGCCTCAGCCAACCGGTATGGCTCGGACTACTGGGCATTCACTTCCCGCCGTTCCCGGCCCTACTGCTGGAAAAGAAAGAAGGAAAGAAAAAAGACATTCTTCTTCTCAAGAAGAAAAAAAAAAAAAAAAAAA